TGGGGAAGAGACAGAAATCTTTAATAAATAAATAAATGAAAATTTAAAAACAAAACAAAAAAAAGAAGTGAAGGTTAACGTGAACCCTAAATTTGTCAAATCAACACAATGTAGCTACAAATCAATTTCCCATAAGAAACTATCATTTGAAAATCAAATTATATAAACCTTTTCTTACTTAAAGCATACGAATAAATTTAAAAATAAATAAATAAATAAAAATAAAAAAAGGTTAACTGCAAAAAAATTTGCAAAAGTTAAAAGACAAGTAATATATTTGGGAAATATTTGGGAAATGCACATAACCGTTCAAAAGGAAAGATAATGACAGGACTGGAATGTAGTTGTGCAGTGAAGGACCTGCCTAGCGTGAGCAAGGCCCCCAGGAAAACATGCACACAGGCAATGGCAAATTACCAAAGACAGAAGACAGAATGTAATTTATGAATGAAGCAATACAAACAGCTGGTAAAGGGTAAAAAGTATCAAGGAATGTTGGCCCATGTCTATGATCCCAGAATCGAGAAGGCAGAGGCGGGACAATTACCAAGAATTTGAGGACAGCCTGTACTACATAGCAATTACAAGACAATTTAGGGCTACGTGACAAAACCCTGTCTAAGAAAAGTAAAGATCTGAGCAGTTACTCATCTGTAATATAGAGAGGATGGTTAAATGTGCCATAGCACAGGGCTGCTGAAAAGGCTGGATGGGTGAAGCACTTGCCACCAAAGCCTGACAGTCCCTGAATTCAAGCAAAGATGGAAGGAGAGAACTGACTCCATAAATGCTTACTGTCCAGCCTGCTGCCCCTCATAGTTAAAAACAAACAAAACAAAGCAAAAAAATCTCCATTTCTGGAAAAGCTGGGCAAGAATGAATGCTTTCTTTTGTTGTTAAGTGAAACACAAATTGGCAGACTTTTGTTTAGTCGGTGTTTTGAGACAGTTTCTCTATTAGGTCCTGGAACTTGCTATGTAGACCAGTTTGGCCTTAAACTCAGAGATCTGACAGCCTCTTCATCCCAACTGCTGGGGCAAAAGACGTGCACCACCATGCCTTGTCCTTACTTAACACACTAACACACACGCACCACAAACAAGCAAAAGAAACTGTCCAAAAGAGGAAAGAGTAAGCGAGCCATTGAAAAACACAAAAGGTAACAGAGAGACAGCAGCTGTGATCCTACCACTAACAGAAAAATCTGTCAATGTTTTCCAATGAGACTTTTGAACTCCCTCCTTTGTATGGCTAATGTTTAACTTATTTGAGCTCAAGACTGAACAGTATTCACGTTGTAATTATCGTTCTGTCCTCAGTTTAAGTTTCTGTTCCAGGAAGTTGCCTAATCTGGAATTTTCCCCTCTACTGAAGTCACTCACTGTCTTCCTTCAGGTCCTGCCTCTGGGTAAAACCCAGAGCTGAGATGTTAGAAGAGCCTCCTCTGCTAATCTCTGGCCTGGAGACCCTGGGTCCTAACCTCCGAGCACAGGAAACGCTCACCTGGGCCGTGACCTTCAGACTGCTTTTCAGCTTGTGGGAAGGATGCTGCAAACACTGGCAGTTGGAGGGCTGAGGAGTTCCTGTTGAACTGGCCTTAGTGACTGAATGGAACTACATTAGGCAATTAGTAAGAAGACCTCCGCAGGTAAGGCAGATACTCTGCTTTCAGGAAACCTACCACCACCACCACCCCCCAGCCTCTCTCAGGCCCAGCTACCCCTCCATTTAGGTTACAAGACAGCATGACTTGGAAGAAAGGACTCCTTCTGTCACTGTGTTTGTTATCAGCAAACCTACGCTAGTCCAGTGGGGAGAATGTTGACTTGAACAGCAAAGCCAAGGCCATGCTCCCCTAAACTTGAACAAGGCCCACTGGGAAGTAGCCAACCTTGCCAGTGGGTCTCAACCTAAAAACCTCTCACAGCACTTCCCGCACCAGGACCTACCTGTTACTGCAAAGAACAGCGGCACCCCAGAGTAAGCCCGCCAGTTGAGTTGGTATTGGTTCAATAGTGATCCTATACATCATGGGATTAAAAAAAAAATCCATGAACAGGTTGATAAGCATAGCAAATAAACATGGAGATTTCAAGAGTCAAGGAGATGGAAGGCAGGCATGGTATTACACTACTATAACCCTAGAGCTGGTAAAGTCAGAAAGCTCTGGCGAACAAGACCAGCCCAAATCACATGAGACCCTACCGCAAAGCAAACAGAAAACCAGGGATTGGGGGTGAGGGAGAACGGAGAATTGGATTACAGACCAAGAAACTCCACTTCCATGACTGCAGAATGTATTAGGCATAGCGGTTCATACTCAGGATGCAGAGTCAGGAGGATCACTTGAAGCTCAAGGTCAGGCAAACCTCGTCCACACAGCAAGTTCCAGACCAGCCAGGGCTGGATGGCAAGACAATGCCTCAAACAAAACAAAACAACACAAAAAAGAGACTGCAATATCTTTTTGATATAGACTAGATGGCATATAATTTTTTCTTGCCAAATTGCCTGCTCTGTCATGTACTGGATTCCATGACAGACTTGGAGAAATCCATACAGGGATTAAGAAGCGGGAATGAATCCTAGTCCTGAAAACCACAGTTACCTCCTGAAATTACCACTGCCACCGTAACTTCTGAATTAACCTCTAAAGTCTGCCATAAAACATGCTGTCTGAAATCCTAAATACTTATCTCTTAGGGAACCCATTGCACTCTTGGGTGTAATCCAGTGGTCTTAGGCATTTCTCTCTCTTTTTTAAAAATTAATTTACTTTTTTATTTGAAAACAATCTTTTTCATTTTACATATCAATCCCAGCTCCCCCTCCTTCCACTCCCCCCACTTGCCCCACCCCGCCCGCCCCAACTTCCATCCACTTCTCAGGTAAGGCCTCCTGGTGCTTGGGCTGGGGCTGCAGCTAAGGGGTAAATGCTGGTACTTAATCCTGTCGATGTTAGGCTGTCTCCCACTGATGCCGACATTTTCTTAGTAAAATGAAGCTTTATGCCCAATTGAGACTCTCTAGGGTTTTGAATTACCCTCGAGAGTCAGGATCTGACTGTACCGTGCTCCCGGTTACACCGTATTGGTGAAATGGTAGTTTCCCAGGCTGTGCCTGGCCGTGAGAGTCTCCATGTCACAAGCAGCGTTTGACTCTGTCTTGAGTGTAAATCCAGAGCTGGATGACGATGCAACTTGATGGGCATTTAAAGAGTGCCGTCTCTCTGGCCCCACCTACAAATATAGACTAATATGTAACATATTCTTAAGCACCACCCTACAGATTTATCAAAGTCGATTGGGACAGTATGAAGGCGTAAGCATATCAAAATCGCTTCAGGAGAGCCACACCCAAGAAGTCAGCCTAAGGAGGATGAAACTCCACACGTAGACCCTCTGAACAGGATGCCTAAGACATGGCGACAGCCCCGACCACCTGCTGTCTGATCACCCAGTATATGTGCTAAGGGACAGACAGGCAGAGAATTCCTGGCTCCCCAAGGGTCTCCTGCTTGGCTTAGTCTCTGCTGTGGTTGGGTTGCCGACCGTTCATCTTCCTGTCTGTCCATGTGGACTTGGTCCTGCACTTCAGCTCTCTGACCTCCGTGGCCCTGCACGTCTCTTCTGCAGCTGGACTCAAGCCTAAGGCTCAGCGTGACTCTGCACAGGCACCTCTGGAAGACCTCCAGCGGATCCAGAGTCCCTGTACACTCCTGTACACTTTCTGCCCCTTGAACTCTGCTGCAGTCTCCTTAAGCCTTCATAACCATTCAGTAATCCCTATATAAACATGTGCAGAGATTCATTAACTGTGTAGTGTGTAATATACGACCTGAGAGTTGATATGAGCTGTTATGATTGGGATAGAAGACCTGTATTTTGGGAAGACTCATACAGCCAACTAATGTGCGCTCATAGGGGCTCACAGAGACTGAACCGACAACCAGAAAGCCCGCATGAGACTGACCTAGGCCCTTTGCATATATGCTACAGTTGTGTAGCTTGGTCCTTTTGTCGGGCTCCTAACAGCAGGAATAAGGGGATGCCTCTGACACTCTTACCTTAGGCTTTTGGGACCCTACTTCTCATATTGGGTCACCTTACCTAGCCTTTATATATGGGAAGGTACTTAGTCTGCAACTTGATACACCATGTTTTATTGATCCTCGTAGGAAACTTGCCTTTTCCTGAATGGAGTCTGAAGAGGAGGGTATTGGGGGTAAGGTGGGGGAAAAGGGGAGAAAGACTGGGAGGAGAAGATGCAAGAGCAGGGAGAGGCTATGGTCAGGATGTAAAATAAATAATGAATTAGAGAAAAAGAACCCATGTTTGCCGCAGTTTGCCCCTGCTGTCTATCAAGGGAAACTGGGATTCCTTGACAAATCATAACCAATAAAAACCAACACAGCTTGTGCATTTGTTTGGTATCCAATAAATTCTGGCATCACAGAAAGACACAAGGTGTCCAGGTTTCTGATGTGGGACATTCATGACATTGAGAAGGCAGACTTGGTAGTTAAGTGAAAAAAATGCTAGGTGTAGAGGCCCACCACCGTGAGCCTGGCATGTGGCATGCTAGAGGCTGAAGCAGGACTGATACAAGGTCCAGCCTGAGCTACAGGGTAAGATCCTACCTTAAGAAACACAGTGAAGCAACTTGTCTGTTGACCTGGGTGGTGGTGGCACACACTTTTAACCCCAGCACTCACAAGGCAGAGGCAGGTGGATCTCCATGAGTTTGAGGCCAGCCTGGTTTACGGAGCGAGTTCCAGACAGCCAGGACTACACAGTGAAGCCCTGTCTGGGAAGACTTGTGTGCAGAACAGCCAGGGTCTCCGGATTTAGAGGCTGGCTGCTTCTTTACATCCCAGTTTGTCTACCAGTGAGGGACTCATGGCTGTGATGGAGTCTGAGTGTCCCACCAAATGGAAAAGAGATATAACCCATACAAAAGAACTTGTACCATGAAAACTGGTAGTATTTTGTTGGGCATGGTGACAAACACCTTTAATCCCACTACTGAGTAGGCAGAGGCAGGGGGAAGCCTCTGACTAAGTTTTATGACAGCCGGGGCTACACGGATAAACCCTGTCTAGAAAACAAACAAACAAACAAAATTGGTGATATTTTCAGGTCAGTTAACCTTTGCAGTCACCTTAGCAGTAATTCCTGGACACAAACTAGTTAATCTGCAAATCTGTCCTTGAACTCCTTCCAACAGAAACTTCCTGAGCCACCTTCTGGAGCATAAAAGAAACTTGGCCAAGCAAATGCTTTTTTTTCTAGGGCTTTTGATATTGGAACAGACTGAGAGTAAGGCATGTTCTCTGGCCTCAGTGAACTAAAGAATGAGTTAGCATCCTAGAAATCGAAGGGAACTTCTATACTGAATGCGATTCCTTCACCAGTTTCTCCACTCAACACACACTCGATGAGCATGCAGCGTTTACAAGATGCTTTCTCGTAGTCATGCCATGGACAGATGAGGGCAAATTCAACAACTGTTAAGAACCCAGGCATGGTGGCACACTCCGTTAGCCACAGCACTTGGGAGGCAGAGGCAGATGGATCTCTGTGAGTTTGAGGCCAACCTGGTCTACAAGAGCTATTTCCAGGACAGGTGCCAAAGCTACAGAGAAATCCTGTCTCAAAAAAACAAACAAAACAAGACCCTGTCTCAAAAACAGACTTTCAAGAAACTTGTTAAAGGTCACACCCAGGTCAGGAGGGCTACTGTTTAATTCTGTCCAGACGCCAGCTCTAGTGATTTATTAATAAAAGGTGACATCAGGGCTTTTCCTTAGCACTGCTTTATATAGCTCAGTGATCATGGCTTTGATCTCCAGCACCACAAAACCTAGGCACAAGGACATGGGAAGTCTCAGTAGAAGATGCTTAGCATGAGCATCCTGCGCTCTGGATGACAGTTTTGGGGGTAACTTTTTTCTTTGTTGGGATTGATTAGTGTGCTCATCTGCTTACTTGATTTCTTTGGACAAGATCTTGCTCTGGAGCCCTGGGTAATCTGGAACTCAAAATGTAGTCCAGGCTGGCCACAAATTCATTGGAATCTTCTGATCTCAATCTCCCAAGTTCTGGGATTATAGGCATGTGCCACCATGCCTCACTGGGGTGACTTTTTTTTCTTTTCTTTTTTTTTTTCCTGTTTTTTCAAGAAAGGGTTTCTCTGTGTAGCCCTGGGTGTCCTGGATGTCTCTGAAGACCAGGCTGGCCTCAAACTCACAGAGATCCACCTGCCCCTGCCTCCTGAGTGCTGATAATAAAGTCATTGATGGCGTGAATTGAGCTTTTTGTTTGTTTGTTTGGTTGGTTTTTTTTTTTTTTTTTTTTTTTTTGTGAGACAAGGATTCTCTCTGTAGCTTTTTGGAGCCTTTCCTGGAACTCGCTATGTAGACCAGACTAGCCTCTAACTCACAGAGATCCACCTGCCTCTTCCTCCTGAGTGCTGGGATTAAAGGTGTGTGCCACCACTACCTGGCATGAGGTAACTTTATAAGGATAGTTTAAAATTGTTTTTTTTTTTTGGTTTATTTACCTGTATGATCATTTTGCCAGCATGTATGTGCACCACGTGCATGCCTAAAAACCAAGGAGGACAGAAGAAGACATCCGATCCCTGGAACTGCAGTGGTAGATGATTGTGAACCACGCTGCAGTGCTGGGAGCTAAACCCTGGTCTTCTACAAAAGCAAGGAGAGCTCTTAGCCATCTCTCCAGCCCTTTAAACAATTACTTTTTTTTTGGAAAGTGTTAGCATTTAATTGGCCTCCCTGAGTGGCTTCAAGCCACCTCCAACACCCTTTATCTTCTCTTCAGCTCTTCTGCTGAAAAATTTGGCTTTCACGATGATAGGCTGCTTAGGGAGCTTTCCCTTCCCCAGAACTTTGTAGTAGCCCGATCGCACGACATCAATGATGGGAGCAACTCTGGTCTTGTTCTTGGCAGCGTTGACTCGAGTCTGCTCACTGACCAGCGTCCACAGTTTATCCAGGTTGACAGTCGGGCAGAAGCTCTGGTTCCTCTTTAAGTGGTAATGCCTCATCCCAACTTTCCCGAAGTAACCTGGATGATATTTGTCGAAGTTGATCCTGTGATGATGCATGCCTCCTGCGTTCCCGCGTCCTCCTAGATGCTTGCGGTGTTTACCGATGCGGCCATGGCCGTGGCTCACGTGGCCCCGGAGTTTCCGGGTCTTCCTCAGTCTGGATGGCATGGCGGTGGCAGAAAGGAAAGAGGGCTAAACAATTACTTTTAAGCAAGACATAATCCCAGCATTTTGGAGTGAAGGTGGGAAGGTCAATAAGTTCAAGGTCAGCCTCACTTCAGAAAACAAGAACCCTCCTGAAGCCTTACCCCTGAAATGACACAGGCGATTGCTACTGTAGTTGGCTGCCCACCAGAACTATACGATAATGTTCTTTTGTTGAAGACATCGCGTGCTTTGGTCACCGTGCATATCAAAATCAAGCGGGAACTGAAATGGAAGCTTCCTTTCTATGCTGTAATCCTCTCATAGCCAGAAGGAGCTCTGCAGACTGCTGGGGGATAATTGCCACTAAAGCTGTGGTCCCCATAGAGAGCGATCCCGAAGAGCCGGGCAAGATATGCTCACTGGGGCCGGGCGATGGTGGCGCACGCCTTTAATCCCAGCACTCGGGAGGCAGAGGCAGGCGGATCTCTGTGAGTTCGAGACCAGCCTGGTCTACAGAGCTAGTTCCAGGACAGGCTCCAAAGCCACAGAGAAACCCTGTCTTGAAAAACCAAAAAAAAAAAAAAAGATATGCTCACTGGCTCAATAGTGGCTCATCTGTTATAGAGTGTTGGGGCTTGGGTGAGAGATACCCCCATAGACTCATATTTGAACACTTTTTTGGACCCCAGTTGATGGTGCTGTTTGGGGGAAGTTATGGGACCTTTAGGAGGTAGACCCATGCTAGGGAAAGTACACCAATAAGGGCAGTCTTTGAGGGTTTATGGTGCCCCACTTCTTGCTCTCTCCTCCTCTTCTTCCTCTTCTTCCCTCCTCCCACCCCTCTGCCACCCATGTGTGGATGAAAATGTGGTCGGTTAGCTTCCTGCTCCTTCCAGTTGTCATGCTATCCTCGCCATGCTGGGTTCTATCCCTCTGGAATCATAGTCTGAAATAAGGCCTTTCTTCCTTTAGTCGCTTTTGGTCCTGGCATTTTTATCACAGCAGCAGGAAGTGACTCGTACATGGGACCAGCCAGCTGCTTCTGACTGGGCCCGAAGCCCGCTCCATTCGTGTCTGCCACTGTTACCTGGTCAAACACCCAGAGGGAAGTCCTAGGTCCAGGTGGGCAAGCTAGCGCTAACACACGGAAAGGACGTGACATGGCCAACCAACGGTCATCTAAACGGTCATGTTTAAGCCCATAGATTAGTGCCCCTGTACCTTCGGGCCAGAGGAGCTTCTTCTCAGAAAGGATAATGTTAAAAACAGAGACTTAACCCCTGAGCCATTGCTCCTGGCCCCTTTTCTCTTCTCTCTCTCCTTCATTCTCTCCCTCTCTCCTCCCTTTCCCTCTCTTCCTTGTTTAAAGGCCAGCCTTTTTAGGGTTTTACTCTGTTGCCCAAGTATCTGGGATCCAAGGTGTGTGCACTAGTGTTTTGGGTTTCAGTATATGTTCTTGGAATCATACCAGCCTTAAAATGATCTGAGGTGGTATGTGTGCTTATTATCTCAATCCCCACACTAGAATGGGCCCTCCAACACCGGAATCTGCTTGCTGCCTCCTTCTATTTTCAGAGTCTTATAAAAGCACCCAGTAAATATCTGCTAAATTAACGGAGTGGGCCCCCTATTCTAGGTTTTGAAGGGTCCTTTTCTTGCACACATCAGTTCTCTTTTAGGTTCACCCACTCATTTCCCACAGCCAAATGTCTGTCACCCTCAAAGCTCGGAGAGGAATGACGTGGCCTATGGTAACTCCTGCTAACTGCCCTGTCCTTCTGACCACAGGGGGGGCGTGGGACCTTATCACCTCTCTTGCAGACGCTGGATATGCTGTGTCAGCAGTGTCCCCAGCGACCATCCTGTTTGGCAACACATCCAAAGTGGACATGAGGTTAATTTGGTAGGAAGTGAGGTCAGTTTAGCAACTGATGGTGAAACGTTGAACAAGACGGGGGTTAACACTAGTCGAAGTTAGTGTTAGGCGTGTCGTAAGGCACAGAAGAAAGATCACAAGGGGCTGAGTTGTGGAGGGCCATTTGTGCTTAGAAAGGGAAGTTCCCTGTAGATGTGTGTGTGTGTGTGTGTGTGTGTGTGTGTGTGTGTGTGTGTGTGTGTGTGAGTGCGCGTTCCCTGAGCTGTGCAGCACAAAGTGGAGGACGGCTGAATCTACCAACCTGTGACAGAACTTTCTGGAGGCGCCTGCAGGAGAAAGGCTTTGGC